AGAAAATTTATACTAAGCCAATATTCAATCATTTTTCAACCTCAAAGATAATGTATCAACACAATTGTTGTGAAATGGGTTAAGAGGGTAGGGGTAGGGAGACAAAAGAGTCTAAGTGTGGCTGCTTCTGTGAGGGGCCGAAATGAGACAGGATGCTCAGGAAACAAAACCAGTCTATCAAAGGCGTTATTATACAGAATTATCAAGTCCCAAATTTGTCAAGCTGCTATCTCAGGTCAATGGTGAAGGCTGACAGAGAGGAGAGGATTCTACAGAGCCGGGAAGGACCAGTGCTCAAGTGTCACGGCCGTCTGGCAGGAGATGTGTCCGTTGGAGAAAGATCAATCTTTTACTTCATTCAGACCCTTCGATTACTGAACAAGGCCTACCCACCTTACAGTGGGAAATCTGTCTTCCTCAGTTTACCAATTTCGTGTTCATCTCCTCCAAGAGCACTCTCTCAGAAGCACCCAGAAAATAATTTTGTCCAGCATCTTAGCACAGTATGGCCAGATTACTATAGTGCTTATCTTGATGCTCATTGGCTGGCTTACGGACCATCAGTATTGACATTATCTGGCAGCTTGGGCAAAATATTAGTTATTTGATCTTAGTTATTGAATCAAAAATTTCATTTTAACAAGACTTCCAGATAGTCTTGTGTCCTGTACAAGCACACTGAAGCTGAGTAGACATCAGAATCATGTCAGACCTTTAAGTGTTCATTTGTTTGGTTTGTGATGAATTGTGGGTCTTTTCCACTGACTCATCACAGGTTTTGACACATCCGTACTTAAAAATGTTTTAGTAGTACCCCATAATATGCTCATTTTGTTAATTGCTATATGCCAGGACCAATGAACAAATATAAAGTGCATTGTAAAGCACGCATCAGGAAAGATTTGTACTGTGTAGAAGCTGGGAAAATAAACCTTCATTGAAGCCTGCGGTTAGTCGCGGTGTCTTCCTGTGCCTACTATAACCAGTTCCAAGGCTCCGTGGACACACAAAGGATGATATTCCTCACACACAAATAAGTCCACACTTTGAATGTTCTTCCTGAGAGTTTTGATTGTTTTTTTATGACTTTGTTTAAATCTGAGTGGAGCAATCCTGTTTTAACTTTGTAAACAGCTAATGGAGAGTGGAGCTCTCCCCTTCTCCCCTCTCTATCTCCCTCTCCCTCCATTTCTGTCTCCATCTGTATCACCTCATTCCCCTTCCCTCTCTTCCCCTTTCTTCTTCTATTCCCCTTCCTATCTCCCTTCTCCCTCTGCGCTTTCTTATCCTTTGCCCTGTTCTGTTTTCACTGGGACTCACTATGCAACCGAGGCTGGCCTTGAACTGCCCCATATAACCCAGGGTAGCTTCAGAGTTGCCATACTTCTGCCCTGGCAGGAATTCCCATGGCTGGATTGCAGATGTGCACCACCACACCTGGCCTAGCATGTTGTTACTGTTGTTTGCATTAGCAGCCCTGCCTTCAGCCTGTGGTTTTATAGAGGAGAGCTCTTCCTTTAGCCACATGCCTGCTTCATGATCAGCCTGACCTAATGTTTATATTTTACTGTTTACCTTTCCTTTGGGACACAGGTGACTGCAGTAAGGGTCCTGGTGAGGGTGTCTCTGGTGGCAGCTCCCTGGTCTTTGTTCCCTACTCCTGCCATCTGCTGTGTGGATCCAATGCAGAGTGGCATCAATACAGAGAATTGAATTGTTTTCTCATTTTAATGACTTCCCCATACCAGACCGTTGTATGCATTCCCTGGAGTGAGCCAAGCACGTTGTTGATGCTCTTCACCCAGATCATCATGCCTTGGGAATGACGGTTACCTTGTAACTCTGAGGCTGGACTGTCACTGTTCGCAGTATCCAGAAGCCACTCTGGGACCTGTGCTAGCCAAGCTAAAGGTTATCACTCCAAACCTTTGCTTTGTTGACCCTGGAAAGCTTAACTATTTTTGTGCTTTAGGGGTGAACCTGTGGGGAATTTGATAAAAGTATGGCTTCTTTGCTCAAGAAAAAAAAAGCACAAACAAATTTTTCATTCAATTCCAGAAGAATTCAGCGGTCCTTTGAAGTCCAGGATGAAGAGCCCGTTTAGCAGTGAAAAAGGCAAGTTAGGTTTGCAAGGCCCTGTCCTCTGCCTCAGAATTCCCCTTCCCCGAAGCTTTCCTGAGTTTTAGACCATTCATATTGCACAGAGCTAGGAAAGGGTGTGAACTTGCATCTTAGACATTCAGGACTGGGACTCCACTCACTCCTTCACTGAATAGTGGAGCTCATGTGGGCAGTTCCGTACCCTACAAAATGGGTTATGATAGTCTGTGCTTGCGATGCTCCCGTTTGCCCCGTTCCAGCTTTGTTAGCATGCTTGCCTATTCCTCTCTATGCTCCGCCTGATATGCTATTTCCATCCCCTTCACGTGTGTGAGCTAAGCTTTCTGTTACTGCAGCAAACATCTGAGCCAATCAACATACGCAGAGAAAAGGTTCACCTTGGCTTAGAAGTGTGGAGGCTTCAGGTCACAGTCTGTTGGCCTTGGCAATGAGGCATCATGTCTTGGCAGGAGTGTGTGGTGGAGCACAGCTGTTCTCTTTGTGGCCACTAAGGTCCAGAAAGGAAGACACCAGGTCCCACAGTACTTTGAGGCCATGCCGCCAATGACCTGAAGACCTCCAACTATCCCTGCCTCTTAAAGTCCCCACCATCATTCACAGTGTCGTGATGGAATCCAAGCCTTTGACATGCATCTCTGAGCCAAGCTGTGGCGTCACATGACCAGCGCACCTCTGCTTCTCAAGTCTCATCTCTTCACAGAAAGCTGTGCTGACAGCTCTCCCCATCTCTCCCACTGAAAAATGCAAGAATCCCCATTAATTTACTCCTGAGCCACTAAGTCTAATGAAGCACTAACTTGGGGTGTTTCCCCAACACCCGTTAGCAGTCAGTTCCCACACAGCCTCTGTAGCCACGATTGTACCTCTCTTTATGAACTGTCTATTCTAGACATTTGCTGTGAACAAAACCACAAACCCGGGCCTTTTTGTGTTTGCTTTCTTTCACTGGCTCTAAGGCTTTCAAGTTTGGTTGGGGTTGGTGTCGGGGTTCCACTCTTCCTGTTCACGGCCAAGTATTGTTCCATTTCACACGCTGCACTCTGCTTATTGGCTGAGGAAACTTTGCACTGTTTCTACTTTTTGGCTGTTATGGAAAATGCTGTTTTGGCACCTGGCTCTGTCGGCTGTATCCTTCTTTGTTTGTTTATTTCAGTTCTTGCTTATTTTTATTTAACATATTCATTTTTATTCTCTCCCATAGAATGTAATCTCCAAGAAGGCCACGACCTTTTTCAGCTTGTGCAGTGCTGTGTCCCCAGGGCCTCGTGTCATGCATGGCCTACTGTAGACAATAAACGTCTGTTGAATGAACAAATACGTGCAAGCTGTTGTCATTCTCCTGTCTTTCTAGTGGATTCCATCCTGGCCTCTGCTTTACAGCCCTGGGTCTCCTTCCCTTCAGACTTCTCCCTAGCTGTGCTTCTTATCACAGCATCTGAATACAACCAAGTCCTCCTCATACAGGGTCTCTGTTGCTCTAGCACAGACCCAGACTTGAACTTGAGCACACAGTCAGTGCATGGGGTAGGCTTTCAAAAGCACCTCTCATGGGCCCCAGCTCTGGAGTTTCTAATCCTCTGGTTCAGATGCATCTAGAATATTTAATCATGTTCCTGGATGCTCCTAGCTGTGACCATCACTGTCCCGGTGGGGCTGACTTCAGCAGATATGCTCTGCTGAGCTCCTGAGAATCTGTGTGGACCTCCAAAGCAGTGCCTCTCCCTTCTCTGTCTCCTTTGATGCGGATTCGGAGAGTCTACTTGGCTAGGAATGTGTGGGTGTATCCCCTAAGAAAAGGGGACAGGGCTTGCTGGTGTGCACCCATTCCTGGCTCGAGAGGAGATCAATACGAAGATGTTCATCGAAGTATTGGTTCCTGGGATTGTTCATAATAACAGAGCTGCACCTACTGGTTTTCACAGAACACCTCCATGCTTGTAGTTGGCACCACTGTTTCTGGCTGGTTCTTCCACCTTGCTAGGGTTGCAGATGGAGGCAGCCATCCTTGCAGGTAAGTAGGTAGGGGACTGAGGAGGCTGGGGCACGGTTGTTCTTTAAGATGTGAAATCAGCAGACTGTCAGTTCTCCCTGAGCTGTGAACAAAGGGGAAAATGGAAGGAGGTTCGAGAAGACCTCACAGGCAGAGGATTCACATGCTAATGACACTCCCTACTTCATCTGGTTAAGGGCATGTCTCTAAATGCACATATCATGGAGGGTAGATAAGAGGGGAGATGTGTTGGTGGATCCAGCTGGCTGTTGTCTCTGCTCTGCGAAAATAGTGTGCATCTCATTGTGAAGGTCAATGATATCAGTTGGACTGTGTTCCTATTCTCTTAAAAAGAAAAGAAAAAGTAAAAAAGGAAAGGTTGGCTCTGTGTTGCACACTGACGTGTGACCTTGAGCAGTTAATTTGCCTCTCGGAACCTTTGTTTACTCTTCTGTAAAGGAATAATACTCCTTGTAAGCCCACAAGACCTATATTCTTCGACTTTGGAAAGGGATGCCATTGCTTTCCGTGGTTAGCCTAGTGATTAACTTATGGCAAGGACTGACACCGGGCCATTGCTAAGCAGGAAGTCTGGGCATCTGTGTGAGGCATAAAGAGAAAACCCATTTTCTGGGGTGGAGTCTCACTGCAGGAACTCATCCTCTGACCCCTCAGCCACCACTGGGTGGACAAGCAGTGACCTGCACACAGAGTGAGTTTTGTAACCTCTGATCCATTGCTTCTGTGCTCTCCTGTCTACCCCTAACTGCAATGGCAGCTCTCTAGAAGGGATGGCTTTGTCTTTTGTCCAATTAGGCAGTGCTGGGCACATGGCAGGTGCACACGGTCTTATTGCGGATGAGCAGAGTTCTGTTCTTTGTTCCTCCAGAGCCCTTGCGGATGTCATGAGGCCACAGGGCCACTGCAACACTGACCACATGGAGAGAGACCTTAACATTGTCGTCCACGTGCAGCATTATGAGAACATGGACACAAGAACCCCCATAAATAATCTCCGTAAGTACGGGTGCTCTGGCCACTTCTGCTCCCACTAGGCAGCGGCAGTGGTAGCATGGTGGGATTTCCTGGGGCGCGTCTGGGTCAGCAAAGAGCACCTCAAGGGTGCGTTAGATTTCTCTGTTTGGCGTGATGCTGAATTTGGCACCTTAATAATTGACTTGGTTGTGTTCTCTGTTAAATAGGGATCCACTTGGTTGGTCTCTGTTAAGTACTAGAAGGCTTGACTGCTTCATCGTTGTTGGTCTATTTACTTGGTGGTCATGTTTGATTTAGGTTGTTATTAGTTCATGTAGATTGGGTTGTGTGAGCTACTGGTCTATTTTGATGGAGCCACTTGTTAACCAATTGTTTTATTCGCTTTCAGAGGTAGTTGTTCTTTTAGGTTTCATATTGCTTTCAAGGAACAAGTTTAGAATTTTATCTTTTAAAACATAAAATGAGCGTCACAAAAAAGACATATTAACACCTCACATGTGTGCTTAGTGGGGAATGCTGAGTCCTGAACACAATGGTTAGAACTTCCCATGCGGAGTAGAAAAAGAAAAGATTTCCTGTGTAAATTGGGAGCATGGGGACCTTGGGAGAGGGTTGAAGGGGAGGGGAGAAGCAGGGAGGGGAGCAGAGAAAAATGTAGAGCTCAATAAAAATCAATAAAATTTTAAAAAAGAACTTCCCGTGTGTATAGTGGGGGAATGTTGAGCCCTGGTCACCTTGGTTTGGGATGAACATGCTGTTTCTGCAGTAGTAAATTCAGATCTCTCGTTCTGCCGGGAGAAAGGAGCAAGGTGCTTCATGGCTGTGTTTCAGTAGCTGTTCTTCTTCGGTCAGAACACTCTTGGGCATCCTGGTCTGTGCCCTAGGTCTCCTTTCCTTCCGAAGCTCTGTTCAGACAATACACGCCATGGAGCCTATGCTCGAGTTGGAGCTGTTTGGATCCTGACATGTGCGCATTACAGTGGTGGACTTTCCTAATGACTATGGTTTCGGTCATCCTACCTCAGAGCAATGCGAAGTTCACGGTTGAACGCCACAGAGGCAGGCAGCAGGAAGGGCGCATCTAACCAACGAAGACCGCGGAAACTTTGGGGTCTTGTGCTTTTCCAGGAAGGGCACCCTTTGCTGAAGCTTACCCTGAAGCTGCAAGGCTTGTTTATTTGTTGAGACCTGGTTTCGGGTTGTTAGGTGACTTGTCTTCTCTGATTGATGGTGATGATTTTTCATGGTTTTGGAAAGTCTTGTGCTGTGTTGGCAATGACAGTATTCGACACTGCACAGGTAGGAAAATGGGCCACCAACGGGTGCTTCAGGTTTCGTAATATTAAATAACTGTATACCATTTATTGGTGAGCTGGATCGTAACACAGTAGTAGAAATCACCTCACTGCAGTGCAAAATATACGAGCATTTGGAACTTTTACATCCAAATCCTACAGACCCTGAAGATACCATAAGTCTTGGCAACTGTGACATGACAGTGGCTGTACGGGGTCCTGCTTTGGATGGAGTGAACACATGCTCTTCCCAAGTCTGATGAATGTGGACCCGAAATGGTGAACAAATGGAAGCCATCAAGGCAAAGACATGGCGTGGCGTCTCTGGCCATGGACGGTGTTGGTTAACAGGTTTTTAGAGTCTTTCTGTCTGTGATTTGAACCATACTGGAGTTGTTCATTGGGCAACAGACTCACCCAGTTTTCCTAGCTGCACAGGCTACAGGTCAGGGAAGGAATGCTAACTAATTCTGCTTAAGCAAGGGACTTTTGTTTAAAGTTTCTGAACGTAAATGACCAGAGACTGGGGAACTCAGGTGCCTGTGGAAGGCCACTTTGGAGTATGTATGATTCTTCCTTGGGTCTTTATTTGTGCCTTGGTGATTGTGTTTTTTAAATACTGGGAGTGGGATCTAGGCCATGCTTGGGTGGGGTGGCATTGTATTAGTGGGCCACATTCCCAGTCTTTTTTTCTTTTTTCTTTCTTTTTCTCTTTTTATTTGGAAAACAGGGTTTCACTTATTAATGGGGTGCCCTTGAGTTCTTCTGTAGCCCAGGCTCACACTGAACTCTAGATTTTCCTGTAGCTGGAATCACAGGCCTCACAAGGCCTGGCTCTGCGGTCTTTGACATCAAAGAGAATATTGTAAGAGGATGTTCCTGCTAGACCTCAGGGGAGAATTCCACTAGTGCCATCACTGCATTGTGTCTTACAAGAATTGCTATGAGCATTGCTTCTATTTAATTCTGCCAGGTTGACCCAGTCCTTCTCCTCCAAGTTTTCTTGAGAATATCTAAGAACAGTAGAGAGTATATAGCCTTGTAAGTTGAATTCACATTAAAAAGATCAATTATATGCACAATAGTAGTTAACAGTAAGAATGAGCTTCTTTGTAGTGAATTATTTATCTTTTAATTGATTTATAGAAACTTTTTTATATATTTTAGTCACCTAAATGTGTATGTTCAGAAGATGAAATGATCTTGGGAATTCACGAAGAGTCTAGGTCTACATGATTGATATTAATTATTTACCAGGGGAATAACAAACTGAGCAGTCTCAGAGCCCATTTTGACTGATGGAGAAGAAACAGGAGAGGACTCTGATCTGATCATTGGACAATTAGACTAGCCCTTCATAGAATTAGTACAAACCTAATTGAATATAAAACTACTCCCTGGGCATTGTGGGAGCCACGGTGACAAGATGAAAAGACAGATGCGTGCTTTTGTGACATGTCAAGAAGGGAGGATTGTTCTATTTTTAGGTTATTCTTCATTTAATATTCAAGTTGCTAGATTTGACTGTGAATTTGATAGTCTCGGTCTACAGGTCTTTTTTCTCTCTGCTCAACAATGCATATTTCAGGATTAATCTCTGAAGGGTCTCTAGCTAACCCAGGCATGGCAATCGTGGCTCTGGCAGGCCTTGTCCTCTCTCCCATTCCCTCTGCCTTACTGAAAATGGTTAGATTACATTCCTGCAGCTAGTCCCCACAGTCTATCCCCTTTTCTGACCTCATCCTCCTTCTGAGGCTGACTACCCTGGTCCAGCTACCAAAGTATTAAAGTCCAGCAACCAGAACCCCCTTTGGCTACCCTAATTAACCCTCCAATTAAAACCAAACACCTCATTCCAACACAGGGTTTCCCCTTCACCTTTACAAGCTGCCATTTCCATTTCTGTCTCCTCTCTATCCAGAGCAGTCCTTTGTCCTCCCTGAACAAACACCCCTGCCCCCTCCCTGTTCCCTTCCCCTTCTCCCTTGTACTCTGCCATCTTTGTCTCTTATTACTGCCCTTTGTCCCTTCCGGGGAAGTAAATCTCCCTTGTGCTGAGAACTTGGTCCTGAGCCAACACTGATCCCTTCTATCTCATTTTTAATTCTCCCACCATCTCCCTCCTTTTCCTCCCTCCCTTCCTTCCTTCCTCCCTCCCTCCCTCCCTCCCTCCCTCCCTCCCTCCCTCCCTCCCTCCCTCCCTCCTTCCCCACCTTTCTTTGAAGCAGATCTTATTTTGTGTCTCAGACTTGTCTTTAGCTTGCAAGCCTCCTGCCTCAGCTTCCTGTGTGCTGGGATTACAGTCCTCTGCCACTATAAGGGACTCTCATCATCTTTTAAACACTGGGACTAGCTCATTTCCTGATTGTCCTTTATGTTTGGGTCAAAGTTAGAGGAGCTAAGGTGCACTCTACAGTGTTTGGAAGGAGAGGAGGTGGGAGGAGACATTGTTACCAGTTTTCCCTTACACATTTCCAAGGGTTGACTGTTCCCTTCATAAAAGGCTGGACTAACTGTCTCTCCACCCCCTCATCCCCTCTCCCGCCACTGAACAAATGTTTCTGTTCTTTCTAGGCATCCAGTGGTGTTGTCTGTTTGATGAACAGGGTGCAGATTTTGATGGGATGTTGATTTTCTGCAAACTCTGAACCTTCTGGGTAGCTTCATTGTGTCCTCAGAAAACACCCTGCCTCCCCCTCTGCATCCTCCTGTCTTCCAGAGACCCCCACCTCCAGTTCAAGTTCACTCTTCCCCAGGATGGGAGGTGTGAGGGAGGGGTTGCTGATACGACCTAGCTGTGTTTCAGCTTAGCTATGTTAATAGCGGCCTTTTTGAAATAAAAGTATTTTTGATATTCTTGTTTACAGAATACTTGCAGAGATTTGTCCTGGAGTTCTGCACACTCTTCATGAACCCTCTTCTCTCAGCATCTTATGTTACTGAGGTTCACTTATCAAAATTCAGGAATCTGTATGGGCAAATTCCTCTTAGGTACACATTGTTTGACTTTTACCAGTTTCTTTGTATCTCATTATCTGCCCTGGTTGCCACTGTCTCTTTAGTACAACATCCTTTAGTGGCTGAATTTTAGTTGTGTGACATTGTAGCATGCTATGATGAAGAGGGAGAGCAATATTAACTCAGGTACAGGATGTCTTCCAGTGTTTGTAACACCCACATAAAAGCAGCCATCCAGTCAGTGCTGTGGTGAAAATAGTTGCTGCCTGGAATGTGCTTTGGGTCTAGAACTGTGGGGCAATATGCCCTTATGCTCTGTGCACATGTGCAACGTGGCTTTGGCATTTGGTCCATGGACTCACTGTATCTGTCTGTCTATCTATCTATCTATCTATCTATCTATCTATCTATCTATCTATCTATCTATCATCTATCTATCTATCTATTATCTATCATCTATCTATCTATCTATCTATCTATCTATCTATCTATCTATCTATCATCTATCTATCTATCTATCTATCTATCTATCTATCTATCTATCATCTATCTATCTATCTATCTATCTATCTATCTATCTATCTATCTATCATCATCATCATTCATCTGTTACAGGAGTATGCACAGATGTGCTCACCCATGTATGTGCATACAGAGGCCAGAAATCAGCAATGAATGGCTTCTTCTCACTCTCTTTCTTATTTTTTGTGGCAGGGTATTTCATTGAGCCTGGCCCTCTCTGTTTGGCTAGGTTGGCTGGTCAGTGACCCTCAGGACCCCCCTCTTTCTCTCAAGCACTAGTGCTG